AAATAACCCCCCACAAAGCAGGAGACATAGAAGGGACAATACAAGCCAAAACAAGAACAAAACACTCCCCAATAAGCAGATCTATCGCCAAAACATACAGTATGTACTGCTGCTGCTCCGAAGAGCCATGTGAACCGCATGTATTACTATATTTGTGAGCCTGGGCTACCACGCCGACCGGCTTAACTCCAATTAGACGCGCACTAGGTGTAATGTTTAATTAACAAAATGGATATTCGTTGCAATCCGATAGATAAGACCCCAGCACCCACCTGAGCAAATATCATAATTTAGTCATTTGATAACTGCTGTTACTTTCTCCACTTTATCAGTCCCAACGGCAGCGTAACAGCTCATTAATTCATGTTCATGCAATCATAAGATGGACAAAGTTAGCAGATGCATGCCATTTTACGCTCTCGTGCAGATAAAAGTTGTTAGAGTTACAGTGCTAAAACCCCTGGGTGGACTGACCTGAATGAACTGAAATAAAAGCAGAATATATATGTTCCTTCTTCGTTTCTGAACTACACAGCACAGCAAGAGCACACGTGACACGAACACATTTCTCTGAACTACACTATAATGCATTTCACTCGGAACTAACTGTTACAGCCGTAGATAGTGATCTTCAGCGTCTCCCGCAAGAGTGTCATTTATATGGCTGCGATAAACGCATGCTTCTGACGCTGCGTGCAGCTGAAATCAACCACACACTCATCACAATGAAAACATCGACCTTAGAAATAACGAACGTGAACACTGGGATAATCGCCGATGTATATGGCGAACCCCTGTTGAAATGCATAAACAAGAATGCTTATCTCATTTCATAGATAGTGATCTTCAGCATCTCCCTCAATACTGTCATTGATATGACTGCGATAAGCGCATGCTTCTGACGCTGTGTGCAGCTGAAATCAAACACAGTGAAAACAGCTACCTTAGAAATAACGAACGTGAACATTGGGATAATCACCGATGTATATGGCGAACCCCCGTTGAAATGCATACACAAGAATGCTTATCTCATTTAACCTGTTTCATGTCCGTTACTATCGACGTGTCCTCAGAGCGATTACATATGCTCTAAACAGCGTTTGCTCCAGATGTATAAACACAGATGCTAAATGCTGCTGCTAATATGCTTAATATTCGCTCCTGCATACAATGCAAACTGCTAACATGACACTTAGTTTAACTTGATTATGGTTGCTCACTTTTGAAGTCAATTAGGCAGACCACGCAATACACACGGCGATATGGATTTGAAGAGCATTCACTTATCTTAGATGTTGATTTAGCTGTTTCTGAAGCACGCTGCAAACTGCTACAGCAAGCAATAATCATATATTTGATTGTTGAGCAGCGAGCTCATTGGCTACCGATACAGGAAAGAACCAATCAGCTGTGCCATGTGATAATGATGTCATTAGATCAGATTGAGTTGGACCTATCGGCTTGCGCCATCTAGAGTTTCATGCCAGAACTCTGTATTTGAACTTAGTTCATGACTTGTGCAATCCACAACAACCGATAATTTGGACTGCAGAAGTTTTTGTAATGTGTTTGAAAGAAGTCTCTCACCAATGCTGCATTTATTTGATCAAAAATTTTGATATATTGTTACCATTTAAAATATAATTTTTCTATGTGAATGTGATGCGCAGCTGTATTTTCAGCATCATTACTCCAGTCTTCAGTGTCACGTGATCTTCAGAAATCATTCTAATATGCTGATTTGCTGCTCAAGAAATATTTCTCATTATTATCAATGTTGAAAACAGTTGTGCTGCCCAATATATTTGTGGAAACTGATATACTACTTTTCAAAAGTTTGGAGTATGTAAGATTTTTTTTTTTCATCTAGGATGCATTAAATTGATCAGAAATGACAGTAAAACCTTTATAGTGTTACAAAAGGTTTCTATTTCAAATAAATGTTGTTTTTTTTTTAACTTTTTTTATTCATCAAGGAATCCTCAAAAAAATGAAAATGTTTGATGACGGTTTCCACAAAATTATGAATCAGCACAACTGTTTTGATCAGAAATGACAGTAAAACATTTATAGTGTTACAAAAGGTTTCTATTTCAAATAAATGTTGTTCTTTTTAACTTTTTTTATTCCTCAAGGAATCCTCAAAAAAATGAAAATGTTTGATGACGGTTTCCACAAAATTATGAATCAGCACAACTGTTTTCAACAAAAGTTGAAAATAATGTATATATTTCTTTATTCTCGCCTATACTAGGCACGACTAACATAGTTTTTTCTCTACAGAGGAGGTTGTGATCCACACAGAGCCAGAACCAGCTGTGAAGAAGACCGAGACAGTGGTCAAACTCGACTCAGTAAGAAACGCTACAAAATACTTGAAATATATCTATTAACTGTATCAGTCAAACATTTATTGACAGAATTTTGTCAGGTTTTCTGAACTTGCTCATTTTAAGGAATCTGTTTCAGGCGTCTGATGCTGTGGTTAAGGTCGATATGGTATGTAGACAGATGTCAGATCTGTTTCTTTCTTATTATGTTCAATGCCTATAACATTTATAACTTTGGCATTCATAAACTCATTAGTTTTATGTGTGAAAATGAATTCTGTGTCCTCAACATTGTGGCAGCCAGATGATGAGAAAGGTGAGAAAGGGAAAAAGAAGCGGAAGAAGGGTGAAGAGGTGGAAGAGGAGGAGCTGGACGAAAGCATGCTGGACTGGTGGTCCAAATACTTTGCCTCGATTGAAACGCTGAAAGAGGTAAGAGCTGTAGAAGAGTGCAATTATTTTACACGCACCAGAAGATGCCTTGAAAATGCATGGTTCCGTTTTTTGAACCGAGAAGATTTTATTATACCATTTATGAATGATTTAGATCATTAAAGCGCAAGAGGCAGACGCTGAAGAAAAGGAAGACTTTGACTCTGGAGAGGGTAAGTCAACAATATGTTTGACGAAATTTAGTGTAACTTTTAACTTTCTTAAAATATGCAAATGCTTAATCAGATAGGAGCTATGCGTGCACAACTAAATATAGATGCCCAAGTGCATTTGTAATATGAAACGACTGGAATGAAACGAAGGGAATTTGATATACGTATATAATTAAATGCATAAGACAGTCATTATGTAAAGCAGTATATCTACATGAATTTCTATGGAAGAATTGAAATCTTTCTTTTTTTTTTTTTTATTACTGCCCAAACAAAGCTATTTGACAGATGTTTACATATAATCCTCAAATTCCAAAATAATTGAAAGTACATTAATAATCCTGTTCAGAAGTTTGTATACCCTTGATTCTTTGCCCTGATTACCAAATATGCTCCTAAATGCCTCTGATATGAAAGGGACCAAGAAAAGGAGAGGAAAAGGAAACAAGAACAAAGCCATGCCTGGGCAAGGAGTACCAGAGAAGAAGAAGCACAAAATGGAAGAGCTGAAGGTAAATTTTTTAGTTAGGAATTTAAAGGAATGGTTGACCCAAAACGTTAGCTGAAATTGTTCTCATTCTCAGGCCATCCAAGATTAGGATGAGTTTATTTCTTCATCAGATTTGTAGAAATGTAGCATTGCATTAGTGTCTCAGCAATGGATGCTCTGCAGTGAATGGGTGCCGTCAGAACGAGAGTCCAAACAGCTGATAAAAACATCACAATAATCCACACCACTCCAGAGAAAAACTCTCTTGAGAGAGTTTTTCTCTCTCTCTCTTATGGACATTATAGAATAAATCATCCCTTGTGAACCGAGTTTTCCTTGGACTGTTTTTGTGATTAATATTGTAACAGGTGGTTTCTTTTTCTGGCTATCCTGGGCTAATTTTAACAAGATTTATCCTGTCTGGCACCTGAAAACTTTCTTTAAAAGAGTTTATTTGTGTTAGGGCGGCTACACACCTTTACAAAACTCATCTACATCTTTGATGGCTTGAGGACGAGCATATTTTCATTGTTGGGTGAAAAATTCATTTTACAGCACAAGTTCATTTCAAAAGGAAATGCCTAGATGAAACTTTACGTCATGCGTCTGTTTGGAGAGCGTATGGGATGCCTTGTGGATGTAAAAGAATGTGGGGAATCTTGTTTCTTCCCCAGATGTACAGCAGAGAGCTTGAATATGAGTTTAACACCTTTGAAGATTGGCTTCACACTTTTAACCTTTATCGAGGCAAGTGTTCAGATGATGCTGACGTCGAGCAGAATGCAGCTGATGAAGACAGACTTATTGGCAAATTCAAGGTTTGTTGTCACTCATTGCTTGCCGTCATCTTCTCTCTTGCGTTTGACTTGCTGTTTCTTCATATACTCAATTGGACAAATCTACTCTTGCTTTATAATTACGGTTTTATACATTTTAGATTAATAGTAATGTCACTGAAAGTATAAAATAACACAAACTGAAATTTGGGAATTATGTAGTGACCAAGTCTAATCAAAACTAATGTTTTATTTGAGCTCAGAGTAGCTTTTTTTTTTTTTTATTTCAGTTGTAGTTATTTTAGTACTTAAAGTTTTCATTTTAGTTAGCGATAATAACCACGTCGATAGGCAGGATTGTTGTATATACAACAAATTTAAGTCTGTACGCAGAAGTATTTCAAAGGTTTTTAAGATCAGGAGATTTACCAAATTTAGTCAATTTTTTTGACTGATGTAGTATTGACTACTATTTTCTTCAAACTAAGAATTTAAAAAAAAAAAAAAGTAAGAATTTTTTGTGTTCCTGTAATACTTCTTTTGAATGTTGCTTGTTCTTAAGAAAAAACTACGGAAGCCCGTTTTCGCCCATGGGATAAAAAATAAATAAAATGTTATCTGCACATTTTTTCTTGTAATTCTGAGGAAAAACGTCTGAATTGGGAGATGTTAACTGAGTTAATAAGTCACACTTGCAATATATAAACAAAAGCAATTTGAAAAAAAAAAAAAAGTCAGAATTGTGGGATAAAAAGTGAGATATAAACTCAGAATTCAGACTTTTCTTCTCAGAATTTATTAACAGTTTATTTCTCGTAATTTTGAGTTTACGTCCCATTTCAGTTTTTTTCCCCACTTTGGAATAAAACATAAAACAGGTAACGGTAACTTTTTATTTCATCATTCTGAACTGCGAGTTTATATCTCACAATTCTGAAATGAAAAAAAAAAACTGAATTGCAAGAAAAAGTCAGTTTTTTTTTTTTTTAATCTGGTGAAAACTAAACTTAAGGAGAATTCAAATTCTTGGAAAGATCATTGTAATCATTGTAAGTAACCTGTTTAAGTTAAAATAACAAATTGGGTTAAAAAAAAAAAAAAAAGAATCCGTGTGAATCCGTGAATCCGGCCCCCAAAATGATTCAGTTTTGTCAACGTTTATATCAATATAAACATCTTTCTATGAAATGTGTCTTTTCCAGTTTTTGATAAGAATATTACATATTAACATTTTGTACGATTTTAAACATTCTACCGTACCATAACAGTTTAGAGGTCTGATCTCTGAGTTTGTGTGTACTGTAGGGATCCCTGTGCATCTACAAAGTCCCAGCATCGGATGACGTGTCCAGAGAAATGGGCTTAGATTCTAACATGGGCATGTTCCAGAACATCCCACACAACGACCCCATTAACGTCCTCGTCCGAGTCTATGTGGTCCGGGTATGTGGTACTAAACACCATAGAGAAGTACGTTGAGTTTTTTTTCCTGTTTGGCCATTTGAATAAATGCGTGGCTTTGTCTCAGGCAACAGAACTGCATCCTGCGGACATCAATGGGAAGGCCGACCCATATATCGCCATCAAGCTCGGGAAGACAGAGATCAAGGACAAAGAGAACTACATCTCTAAACAACTCAACCCTTTGTTTGGAAAGTCAGTACATTAACACAGTGATTATGATGTTCTCTTTCATCACTCGGTTAATATTAACTTCAAACTCCCAGGTCTTTTGATATTGAAGCGACGCTCCCAATGGATTCCACCCTCACCGTGTCCATCTACGACTGGGATTTGGTGGGAACCGATGACCTGATTGGGGAGACAAAGATTGACTTGGAGAACCGTTTCTACAGCAAGCACAGGCCAACCTGTGGTCTCAGCACCAGCTACGCAATGTGTGTAATACTCACTTCTTTCAAACACATTACAAAATCTCTCACATTACAGTCATTTCTATTAGGTTAACTATGTTTTGTAACTATGTATTCTTTTTTTCTCAGTTTTAGTTTTAGTTCTTTTAGTATTTCAAGTTAAAGCCTTGCCTTGGCAACTAACTGAACAAGCTGTTTCTTTTTTTCTTTTTTCAGGTTAATGTTTATTTAAGAAATGAAATATTTTATGGTTTTAGTTTTAGTTATAAAATATAAAAATCTTTTAAAAAAAAAAAACAATTAAATTCAACATTTCTCATTTTTATTTAATCCTAAAACATCCTAAAATAACTAAAAGTAAACTGAAATATAAATTAATAAAATAGACACGTAAAAAACCCCCGAATAAAATGGCAAAACACACAAATTACTAAAACTTAGATGAAAATGAAAACAAAGCAAAAAAAACTAATTTAAAATATTAATAAAAAACTCAAATAGAATTTCATTGATGCCAAAATAACACTAATAAATCTTATAAATGTAAGTATTTTTACAAATGGAAAAATGTCATGATCTGGGGTAACTAGAAGTAACAATTTCACATTTCACATCAAAAAAGCATCTTTCAAAGAAATTGTAACATTCTAAATGTACTTACTGTCAACATTTAATCAATGTAGTATGTCCTTGCTAAATAAAAGTACTAATTTATTTTAACTTTCTTTAGTCCATATTTTTGCATAAACTGTCGTAAACAACCATTTAAAAGTTTGAAGCAGCACAGCTGTATATAACATTGATAATATGTAATAAAATGTTTCTTGAGCTGCAAATCAGCATATTAGAAAGACTTCTAAAGAATCATGTGACTAAAATGACACTAATAATTAGTATTTTTATAAACTGAAAAATGCTGGCATGATCTGAGGTAACTAGAAGTAGCAATATTGCTGTTACATGCTTCAAACAGGACTAGCGGGATAACATGTTTCTTACCGTTTTTCTTTAGTCATGGCTATAATGTGTGGAGGGACCCAATGAAGCCAACGCAGATCCTTGCCAAACTCTGCAAAGATGGAAAAATGGATCCGCCCCAGTACGGCCCCGGGGGACGAGTGAAAGTGGTGAACAGAGTTTACACGGGACCAACTGAAATTGAGGATGAAAATGGTATGCACATTTACAAAAAGCATTTGGAAAGGCATTATTGCATTAATTGCATCAAATATGCATTATGCATTCATTGCGGAGTTACGAGATCCCATTGGAAAGCAGCACATAAAAACAAATGCACGTGCTTTTTTCTGACAGGACTGAAGAAACAGACGGATGAGCACCTGGCTCTTGCTGTGCTAAACCGCTGGGAAGATATGCCAAGGATCGGCTGCAAACTCGTCCCAGAGCACGTGGAGACGAGGCCTCTCCTGAATCCGGATAAACCTGGGATGGAGCAGGTCAGGAATAATGTCCGAAACGGCACCACTGTCTGCTAATGAAATGGTGTTAATGAGCCGTTAATGAATGTGAGTGCTTCTGATGCAGGGAAGGATTGAGTTGTGGGTGGACATGTTCCCGAAGGACATGCCTGCGCCTGGACCCGCTCTCGATATTTCACCAAGGAAGCCAAAGAAGTAGGAAGCACTTAGTGAAATTCTTCAGCAACACACAGATGAATATTTTATATTCTGACTATGTTTTGGTCATTGACAGGTTCGAGCTCAGGGTGATCGTGTGGAACACGGACGAAGTCGTTCTGGAGGACGATGACATTTTCACAGGGGAAAAATCCAGTGACATATTTGTTAGAGGGTATGGGATCTTTCTCATTCAAATCTGGATCACATAATCAGATTTCAAAAATTAAGTACAGGTTAGAGTTGTCTATCGTCAGATCGCCGATACACTATATTACCATGCTAATTTATTTACTTCGTTTCATTGCCAGAAAGTGAAACTCCAGCATCAGGCTAAAAGAAGCCTACTGTTTTTAATATGACTGAAGTTGTATTTAACATGATAACAGTTTAATAGAAACATTGTTAAGTTACTCATTACAAGGCTTGCATTTCCTCAGTTATTCAGAAAGCAGCTACAGAAAACGAGCAAAGAACATTTACATTACCAAAGAGCATCATAACTGACTTCAGTCTGGCACGAGTTTATGCACTTTAAAAAACACTCCCGTTATTATCTGTGAAGCTATCTACACTGTATGATGAATAAATCTCTTATACGTACATCGCACGCACATCTGCACTTTGTTGTTTATGATGAGAGAATTCATGAGAGAGCTGAAGTCAGTCAGAATAATAATAGTCTTGCTATTGTCAGTGGCATTAGCTGAATGCTGGATTTACTAAAATCAATTCAGTTTTCTCATCATTTCAACATTGCATCAACTACTGATGAAAACACTTCATATTGTTAATATGGTACAAGATTGTCCCATTTAAATCAGTGTAATAAACAAGTTAGTTCAAAAGTAATCAAACAGTAGTCTGATTATATAACCAAAAATGTGTAATGCGGTGGATTACATTACTGACTAGTTTTTATCATGTAATTTGGAATCAGACTACAATTCGTAAGAAATCTACCCTGCACTGTATAAGTACATATACACTCTAAAAAATGCTGGGTTAAATACAACCCAGTGCTGGGTAAAATAGGGACAAACCCAGCAATTGGGTTGTTTTGACTCAGCGGTTGGGTTAAATGTTTAACCCAACCTTCTGGGTAGTAACCCAACCGCTGGGTCAAAACAGCCCAATTGCTGGGTTTGTCCCTATTTTACGCAGCACTGGGTTGTATTTAACCCAGCATTTTTTAGAGTGTACTGCCATACATATAAAAAATGTATTTATTTTTTGTTACGTTTTTAAAAGACATCTTTTTTTGCATGCCAATGCTGCATGCATTTGATCCAAAATACTGAAAAATCTGTAATATTGTGAAATTATTACTACAATTTAAAATAATTGTTTTCTATGTGAATATATTGTAACAATGTAATTGATTGCTGTGATCAAAGCTGAATTTGCAGCATCATTAATTCAGTGTCACATAAATTATTCTAATATGCTGATTTGCTGCTCAACATTTTTATTACAAGTTAGAATGATTTCTGAAGGATCATGTGACACTGAAGACTGGAGTAACAGTCATTTTAAAATGTAATAATATTTCACAATATTACTGTTTTACTGTATTTTTGATCAAATACATGCAGCATTGGTGAACAGAAGAGACTCAAATACATATGTGACCCTGGAGCACAAAAGCAGTCATAAGTAGCACAGGTATATTTGTAAAAATGGCCAAAAATACATTGTATGGGTCAAAATTATTGATTTTTCTTTTATGCCAAAAATCATTAGGATATTAGGTAAAGATCATGGTCCATGAAGATATTATGTAAATTTCCTACTGTAAATAAATCAAAACTTAATTTTTGATTAGTAATATGCATTGCTAAGAACTTCATTTGGACAACTTTAAAAGCGATTTTCTCAATATTTAGATTTTTTATCATATCATAACAAACCATACATCAATGGAAAGCTTATTTATTCAGCTTTCAGATGATGTATAAATCTCAATATTGAAAAAATTGACACTTAAGACTTTTGTGGTCCAGGGTCACATATAACATATTCGAGTAGAACTACATATATTTGCACAATAACTATTCACCACTCACATTGGATTTTTCTGATAATTGACCCTTATGACTGGTTTTGTGGTCCAGGGTCACATATATCTTTCATGATATATCTTTTCACATAACTTGTGACCAACAGATGGCTAAAAGGCCAACAAGAAGACAAGCAGGACACAGACGTCCACTATCACTCTCTGACCGGAGAGGGCAATTTCAACTGGCGCTTCGTTTACCCCTTCGACTACCTACAGGCCGAAGAGAAAATCGTCATCTCAAAGAAAGAGTCCATGTTTTCTTGGGACGAGACTGAGTATAAAATTCCTGCCCGACTGAATTTGCAAGTGTGGGATGCGGATCACTTCTCTGCAGACGACTTCTTGGGTGTGCTGTTGTATTTTTACGATGTAAAGTCATTTTACATCCAGGCTCAGTCTTAATGACCTTCATTCATGCTGACACGTGTGTGTTTGGTTTTTGTTTCAGGTGCAATTGAACTAGACCTGAATCGATTTCCTCGTGGTGCAAAGACAGCGAAGCAGTGCTCCATTGACATGGTGCTTAACGAGCAAGACATGCCCATGGTCAACATCTTCAAACAGAAGAGAATTAAAGGCTGGTGGCCATTTGTGGCCCGAGATGAAAATGATGAGTTGGAAATTACAGTAAGTGACCTGCACATCAATATACTAATAATGTACAATTAATACCTTTTGTTGTTACAAATTTGCAATTCTCGACATTATCCAAGGTATCTATCAAGATCAGTCTCAGGACAATAGGCAAAGTTAATCAAAAGCTATTAGCATTTTTTTAAATGTCATTATAAATTTTGATCACAAGGTGGCGCTGCCCCTAAACTTTTCGAGTACCTTCAGGGCATGGTGCCGATGACACATAGAGATGTTTCGTGATGATAAGCCAATGCATTCATAAAATATGGCATTTTTTGCGACAAAATTCAAAATGGTCAATGCCCAAAATGGCTGACATGGGATAAATTGGGTATAGCTCAACTCCAAAGAGACCAGTCTTGTCATTTTTGGCCCGACCACTCAGAAGTTATAAGCAAAAATATCAATTTTTCATACATCCTGACCACTAGGTGGCACTGTGCGACTAAACAAATAAATCTGCTTACCATGCTGCCGGGTATGCACCACATGATGTTATGCCCAATTTTCACTCACCAACAGTTTTCTATAGATCTCTGACAAAAGCCCAAAATTAGAGGCAAATCAGTGCTCGTTCACGTAAGCGATGATCGCGTAGTATGACGTTTAAAAGGCACAATCTGAGAGAAGTGCTGATGCATTGCCAAAGCCCAAAAAAATATTTAGCAGGCTAAATATTTGGACCCCGCTGTGACTCTTGCAGTGTGAAATGTGTTTTGACTGGAACTGACATCGGTGGCAACCTACAACCAATGAGAGAGCAAGATGCAGGGCAGATACAGAGTAGTCGGGGATTCTTCGAAGTTAAATATTGTGTGACCTCCAGTCACCAATTCGTTGTGTAATGTGCAAACCACAGCAACTTCATTAAACAGTCATGTAGCGTGAAAGGAAACCAGCATAAGATATACACAATCGTGCCGTGAGCATCTAAGCTGCGGCTGCACAAACAGACAAACATAAACCGCCCATAAGCGGATCTAGACAGGTGGTCCTGGGGAGGAGGAGGGAGATTTACAGAAAGTGATTACAGCAACACTAGTGCAAAGACTATTTAAATGCAATTTCAATGGCCGACATATAAATATGACTACTGTTGCAATATGTGCAATATTCAGGCTACACATTTTTAGTGCTACAGTGTAAGTACCGAGCTATATTATTTAACTACATGAAATTAGAATTAGGTTAAGGTTTGGTTTAGAGTTGGTTATCTGTAAATATGCATAATTTACTCGGATTACTATAGTAAAATATATTTAACATGTAACTACATCAATGTAAACTGAAGTGTTACCAATATTTCTTGTTCTTCCAAACCAAAATGAAATGATTCACTGAAAATTCTCCCCGCCAAGCATTAAAATTTCAAATCTTACACTTCTGCATTTTTAAACTCTGTCACATGATACACAACATGCTGAACAGCAGCTAAAACATGACGATCCTGTGACCTCCTGCATGTCATATGGACTACTGTAATCATACTTTCATGGTGCTTTTTGGGGGGGCTTGGTAGTAAAGAAGCACCTTTCGCTTTCAACAGTGCTTTAAACATTCATCAGAATATCTTCCTTTATGAAGAAAATCTAATTAAATTACAGAATTTAAATTTTTGCATGATCTGACATCTATAAACAATAAAAGGCTCATCCTAAACTATCAGTGTGCACTTGTAGCATTGTCTGTTCAGCTTTGATAGTTTGAACAATGTCTTTTATCTCTTAAGGGGAAAGTAGAAGCAGAGCTTCACCTGCTGACAGGTGAGGAGGCCGAGAAGAGTCCTGTTGGTGAAGGACGCAATAGATCCCATATTCCTTTGTTTATCACACAATCTCTGAAACATGCTTCACCCCAAATATCAGCCTGCTTAATAATGATAATTTCACCATTGCCCACTATCCAGAAACCTTGAGAAGTAGTGATTTTTGGCATAAAAGAAAAATTGATAATTTTGACCCATACAATGTATTTTTGGCTATTTCTACAAATATACCCATGACTGGTTTTGTGGTCCAGGGTCACATATAATTAGTATGTCTCCCGGTACACACTTCTGAATAAGTTGAAAATAAATCCCCAATTCGTAATGATTTTGACAATTAAAATTCGCCCGCTGCTGTGCCGCAGATTTTACCACACGTTTTTCTTTGTCCCACCAGCCGTCCTGACACAACCTTCCTGTGGTTCATCAGTCCGCTCAAAGCAATCCGCTATCTAATCTGCAACAACTACAAGTGGCTAATCATCAAAATTGTGGTGGTTCTGTTGTTATTAGTGATGCTGGGCTTGTTTCTGTACAGTATGCCAGGCTACATGGTGAAAAAGCTTCTAGGGGCTTGAAAAGCTTTCTCAATGCCTGCAACATTCAGCATCTCTGCGATATTATTTCACTTGTTTTTTGAAATGATCTATTTGTTTGTTGGAGAAGTCATATGCATACTTATTGTTTTTCATCTGTGTTAAATTAATAAATCATTCCTGCTTTAACTGAATGATCATAAACATACTATTAAATAGCAAAGCCCTGCTGAGAACATGAAGTCATTCATGATCATCAAACGCTGACAGATTGTGTTTCAGCTTTTCACATTTTAAGCACTGAAAACCTGTTATCCAATCATAGTCGTTAGTTCTTTGTGTTTCAGATAACATACAAAATCTGAAAACATGTAGTGGTCTCATTTATCTGCATATCCAGTGCTAACGTAATTTCTTTTTTATATCAATTCATACGCTTCTGGGGTTTTCAGATTGGTGGAAGTTACGTTTTTCTTCACTGAAAAATGTTATTGTGTGCTTTGGATGCTACTAATAAATCAATAAAGAAAACTGCATGCATTTTATTTATTAACAGTTCATGAAAATCCTACATTTTCTGCACCTATACTCTAAAAAACCAGCCCAATCGTGGATCACCGTCCTTCAATATTTCACAATAAACAGGCCCATTTACCATCCATTTGTAAGCAGAAAATAAACAGCTATCTTATAATTATAGTGTTGAATCTCTTAAGTAGAACAACGCAGTGTTGACTAAACTTCACGAGTCTATGAGCACTGATGTGCGCCAATACACACTTGAACCTGCCAAAATTGCATGTCATCAATGAGACACATTTTAAATTTGTGCATGTTCATGATTAATTAAAACCCAATTTTTAAAAGCTTGTTCAATGGTTTTGTCCCACCAGCCGCCCCGACATTACATTGCTGTGGTTCCTTAGCCCGCTAAAGGCAATCCATCATCTCATCTGCAATCAGTACAAGTGGCTGGTCATCAAAATTGTGTTGGCGCTGATGCTTCTTGCCATTCTGGCCCTGTTCCTCTACAGTATGCCTGGCTATATGGCCAAGAAACTCCTGGGGGTCTGAGAGATTCAATCAGAGCTTAATCTCTTCTGCAATAAGTTTGAAATGCATGAATTGAACATGATTTGTATGTCTGCATTTGGCGAAATAAAGACATCAGTTGACAGTGAACCTAAAATCCAGTCTTGTTTGTTATTGGCACATATTTTGTGTTAATTGTTTTAAGTTGATTTTTGATTTAATTTTAACCATAACTCACTTTAGCCTTCTTTCACAGCAAGGGCTCTTAAGTTGGAGCACGGTTTTTCAAAAGGTTAGGTTTTGTAACAAAGCAAACCAGTTTGTGATGACAAATGGAACAAAATAAATAGCTTAAAGTAAAATGACAAATTCCTGTAGTGTTTTTCTGTCTGCAAGTCCATTGATATCCATACTGTAAACTCACCCGATACCACGAAGGAATTTTGCCACCTGGGGAAAGAATAGGATAAAAGTTTTCTTTTCATTTCTTGAATGTATAGCCGTTATATTACAATTAAGTGAGTTTGGTTTGCATAGATTAAAGCTTAAAGGTGGGGTAAGTGATTTCTGGTAGCCAGTGTTGATATTTCAAAACACCAAAACAAACACGCCCCTACCACAGAAGGGTCTCGCCCCTATTTTGATAGCTCCGCCCCACACATACGTACGCAACCCAGGCAACGATTAGTTCTGTGAAACAAAGCAAAACCAATGTTACACCGTGTCTACACTGGACGCGAGTGACGCGGCGCGACAAAATACTATAGAACTCATTATAATCAGTGATGCTCGCTCTCTCCTCTGCATCATGAGTAGACACGCCCCTTACTGCTGATTGGCTACAAGTTTGTTTTGGTACTCAGCCCGACTCGGTTTTCTAAAGCGTTTTTGAAAAAATACATACCCCACCTTTAATCTAGCTCAGGACTGTTTTAATTATTATAATGCTACAAGGTGTTTTAATAGAGTGAACGTTGTGAATAAAATAATTTATCCAAAAATAAAATGTCTCATCGCTTACCTTTATTTTGTTCCGTACCCATATGTCCAACAACAGGAGATCAGGCACACTGACGCATCAGTCAGCTACTTCTTCATTCAGTTAAATGGTGAATGAGAATGCCTTTGTCATCTCATTTTGCGTGCCAAATTTATTTGTATTGTGCAATAGTAATATAACTGACATCTTCAAAAGCTGAAGTGGTTACCTCGTTTTATTTCTTAGTTAGAATGTGTGACTTAATATTTTAACTAACAGTAAAAGTGGGATAATAGAACCAAAACTACTGATCTGTGAGATAATCGGTGATTAATCAATTATCAAAATAATCGTTTGTTGCAGCTACATTGTGGCCAGTTCTCACTCATTTTTTACAGTCTCATGTAGGTACTTTATCACTTAACGAAATTGTTATTTGCTGAAATTTGCTGTTGATTTCTACTATTTATTTTTCATGCCTTGGTTTGCACTTGCCCTAAAGACAACAAATTTTCACCCATTTTTTTTTTTTTTGTATCAGCGTAGAATAGCCCTGTTTGGTAAAACCTCGTTTCACACAGGCTTGTGGGCAAGTTTCACTCGACACAAAATCCCACACCACTTATGTATACAAAAAGAAACCAGCAGCACATGAAACGCCTTCATTTACATCTTTCCAGACGACAAGATTACGACAGTGAACAGGTTTTAAGATAGAATTCAAAACCTTTATTACAAAAATAAGTTACACTCACCTCATTTTACAGTATAAAACAATTTATTTGCTGGAATGCAAAAACGTTGTTGGCCACCAACAATAGTTTAAAACTGCTCACACATCTTTTCAAAAGGTTGCAATGTTACAGCTTTATCGAGAGGGAGTTAACTGTGTACAAAACCGGTTGAATGGTTCGGTCACCTGCTTGCTATATATGGAATATAAACTGAAGCTGCAGTATCCCTTTTTCCACAAAAACCAGTTCATCTCTTGCTCGCTCGCCTAAAGTCATGATTGATTATAAAACCTACATAATTCATTGCTCTTCGACTGGTGTCCGCCATCCAGCATCGGCAGAAAAAAGGACACTGCAGGGCTTAGCAAATGCAGCGGATGCATTTGTGATGTTTAAGCCAATACAAAAGTAACATTGTATTCCAAACTATCATACAATCATACACCCAGTAACTACATAATCTGAAGCAGCAAGGCAGCTAATTCAGTTGAAAGGAGGATAAAAGCAGGGCTTGTTCCAGCTCATCATATGAGATTCATTTGCATGCTCAGTTTTACTGTTCGCAATGTCAGAGCAGCAGCGGATTGACTAGATTACATTAAGAATATCTGCTGCCCTTGTGCATATTTCATAAGAAACAAGCCCTGCTCCTATGCTTCGACGCGTCCCTATTTACAGTACAGGCAGGGTAGTTGAATCCTCTTTACTGAGGTAGTTAACCGACCCTTAAAAAGACAAGTTCTGAAAAGAACCACGTTCCTGGAATGCCTGACTTGTCCACGCGAGGCGGTTACACCAAAAACCCGCAGATGTTCTCAATCCCAATCCAAGCGCTTTAGGTTAACATGGACATTCCCACAACAACATTGTAGTTAGCACAAAAATATACATCAGCATCAAGCTCCTCCGAGCCACTTCAAACGCAGGAGTAAAAAAAGAAAAAGAACAAAAGTGCAAAACACATCTGACGTATGGGGATCCTTGAGAGTCTGAACTTCAGTTCCAGAATGTGGCGAGTTTAGACTATATAACCGGGGGTGGGGGGGTGGGGGTGCGTAGTAGTAGTGAGTTGGCTTATTTAGACGGGCTCCGAATGGGGAAAACTGTGTGTCCGTGGTTTCGATTTCAGAAATCGTATGGTTTTTCGGGGATGGCAGTATAGGAGATTTGCTTCAATACAGGCTGGAATATCATTGGACATTTGAGTTTGCTTTAACCTTATGAACACTGGTAGCATCCGGTGTAACCCCATACAACAAGTCAGTCTTCATACTACCTGGTCAGGACCAGCCTCGACCCCCTTTCCCTGGTAAAACAAAAAACACGCATGCTTTATTCACACAAACACAAGCGGCGGTACAGTATCAGGTTCATGCAAGACCTTCACAACAAAAGCGCAGGAGATGATGAAAATCCAGTTATCCGAGTCATCACAACATGAGAACGTTTTCAAAGAAACAGTTGGTGACATTAATGCATGTGCTAAAGCATGAGCATGTCCAGTCGCAGGACTGATTTTGCTGAAGTGCACCTGTTACCTTCACCTTTAAATCATTATATTTAAAACTGACAGGTTTTGAGATGCATTACGGCGAAGGCTGGGAGACAGAATATTTACAAAACAGTGACAATGATTTTGCCCATGAAGTTTCCTATAACGAGTCACACTCTTTAGACTAGTTTTATGATTATGATGAGAGTGTTAATACAGGTGTTTTAAAAACCTCTATTTTGAACTTTACTAGCAAAAAAAGCATTAGAGTTCATAACTTTATTTCCGCGATTCATTTGAACTACTTTAAATTAGTAGATTTAAATGCATAATACCTCAAAAGCGAAAAAAAAAAATTTCAAACTAAATATTTGGACACTTAAAAAATGTAAAACAGATTATTGGAGTCCGTTTTACAAGAAAATACTATTTTAGTCTCTTCTACTTAATTTACACATTTAATTCAATGTGTAAATCCTTCCCAATTTTTTTTTCCCCGTAAATTATTTTACTGGCAAGTTTACATGATGATTTAATATTCATCCTTTTGTCCGAGTTTGTAGTAAAAACATGCTAGGGTTTTTTTTTAAACTAGATTTTCAGTTTTTACTCCGTTTCGCATTTGAAGATTCTAATCTGCTAAAATGGTCGTTTTGATTAGGGAAAGGCACATCTAAGCAATTTCAGAGCAAATTCTAGTCCTGCACCAAAACGTTTTTTTGTTGTTGTTTGTTTGTTTGACCAAACTGAAATTAAAGTTTTCATTTTGAAAATCTGAAAACCAAAAACAAAGTTAAATATCAACCAATAATCATTTAACAACCAACACTCAAAAACTGACTTGTATAGAAACATTTAAATTGTACTTAAGACTGTTTAACAATATAACAGTTTTTACTCTATTTTGTTGTTGAAACATTTAAACAGGGGCTGGAAATATTGTGCTAAAAACAGCATAGACTAAAAGATGTCGGTTCATCAAAATGAAGGTTGATAAATTACAAATCTTCATTTTCAACGCTATTTAAAACAGACATGTTTACCTGTTTTAGTCTATCCATGTTTTGTGCATGAAACGGACACTGATGCAATCAAAACAGAGAAGCGCTTATTAAACGTCACCATTTCGGTCAATGATTTCCGCTCTCTAAAACGGTTTTAGCCAATACTGAAAATTAATTTCGGTGCACCACCAGCAAATACTCAAATATAAAACCTGAAAAATACAGATGTTTAAGCTATATCGCACAGCTTGTGCTACAGTTGAGTACTTCGCGATGAAGACACTTTGCATATGCAGAAGTCAAAAATAAATCAGTGTACATAAGTGCCGTGTATTTCCAGGAATGAAAGAGCAGAAAGTGCAAACCTTTGGTCCGTTTCGTCCACAAGGTGCCTTGCATGTGTAAGCAATATGAAAAGGAGGGGAAGGAAAAAACAAACGCCAAAACACGTATTTTGATCACTACGTCCTTTGTAAAATCTGACTTAAAATGAGTGCACATCTAGCCTAGAGCGCTTCAAAACCTCCTGCCAACACTCCAGGATTGCTCCACCCACACATCACGTACCACTCGACATCTCTGCTGGAGGCCTGCTCTGGACCCTCGGCCGCCTCGGCTGGGCCCCGGACCCCCGCGCTGAGAGTAACCGGCCCGTCCTCTGGGAGCGGTGGAGCCGCGGCCCCTGGACAGTGTGGGGGCCCGGGCTCCTCTGCTGCCTCTTCCTCTGACGTGAGCTTGAAAGTCATCGTAGCCGTAGTAGGGGTCGTCGTAACCGCCTCTGTAGTTGTGATAGTCATAGCCGTAGTAATCGTAATAATCTTCATAGCTGTAATAGTCGTGGGGATACGAATAACCTCTAGCGCCTCGTCCTCTTGCTCTCGTCGGGGGATGCATATGCGGCGGCCCGTAGTAATAATACTCATCATACCTGAAACACATGCACATGTTTACAATCCATATACAACCATTCATGAGTCTGAGTGTGGTCACACCTCAAATCTGAAAAAGACTCTAGAAATGGGCGTGTAAAGCTGGAAAAGTGGGCATGTAAATGCGAGACAACAGCAAATAAAAGACCTAAAACACTTACACACTATATGCGACCCTGGACCACAAAACCAGTCATAAGGGATTTATATATCAAGCTGAATAAATAATCCTTCCATTGATGTATGGTTTGTTAGGAGAGGACAATATTTGGCCGAGATACAACTATTTGAAAATCTGGAATGGGTCACATATAGGAGTAATGATTATTAAAATGTGAGTTGAGAAAAACAGCTGGGGTCCCTTTGCAATATTTGATCAGTCAGGCTTTTATAGCTCATATAGTCTTGATAGAGTGAGAATATGGAGGAAAAACAGCTCAATTTTATTCAGAGACGCAAACTAAGCTAAATATGCAATTTGGTGCAGATGCTGATATTTACATGATGAACTTCTGATGCTTGTAATGTAAATCAATGAGATCTTTATATAACGGTATAGCACAGGGGTCGGCAACCTTTTGGGCATGAAGTGCTATTTTTAATATTTTTGGTTAACCACTGAGCCAATAACCCCCCCCCCCTTTTTAATGCATGCTGTATTTACAGTACATAAGCATTTTCAGATGTTCAGATAAAAATCTATATTTGATTATCATACATGATTTCTGAAGCATTTTTCATGAATTGACAGATCAGAGATCACGCAGCGTGCACACAGACACATTCAGCTCAGAAACTTGTCTGCCCCGTGACTTTATCAATACTGAATCGCTACATTATATTATTTAGCAACGCGGGGGGTAAAATCCGTTTTTGAAGTAACTGAACTCAGCTTCATTATTTGTAGAGAAAGACACAGATGCAGATAAATCACACAAGCAATTTTCATCTCTCTCTCCCTCAAAATTGCCATATTTGAGAAAAAAAAAGTGAGTAGTTTGCATCACTGGATATAACTCAACTTTTTGATTACCTCAAAATCTACGTCGGTATGCAGTTTTCCCTATTGCTCGCGTGCCAGTGATCATCCCTCATATGTTATGCCATAGGTTGCCGACCCCTGGTATATAGCAGATACTAACATAAGATGAAAATATAAGTTATAGTGCATTAGTTACTATGGACTTTTGCTCTGTATTTTAAAGTCATTTTTAGACCTTGAGAGCATTGTTGTGCTATATCTTTCTATGTGTGTTCGTGGGGAGTTAGTTATGTGACAAAGCTCATAAATCGCCTTACATTTGAGTTTTAGCAGCTTGTCTCTGGGCCTTTCGCTCTTTCCTTTTCTGATCAGGCGGCTTTGCAAAGACGATTTCAATTTGTTCCCCTTCCAAATCCTTCCCGTGCATTTCAGCTAGAGCCTGCAGAAACACACTGGTTAAAATCTGTGCATTAATTACCAGCAACCTCTCAAATGATGCAGAGGAAGAGATAATTACCTTAACAGCGCTATCTCTCTCTTCAAAGTGGATGAAGGCGTAGTCTTTAAGCTTTTTAACCCTTTCCAGTTTGCCAAACTGACAGAACGTCTTCTCCAGAAACTCTTCCGTTACTGCGCTCGCCAGGTTTCTTACAAAGAGGACTTTGACCTAAACAATACATGCAAAATAATCTTATCAGTATAAACTTGACCATGTATAATTCAAGGCTCTGGCATCAAATCTCATTTAACACACAGGAATCGATTTTGCACAAAGAAAAAGACTTTTAAATGTTTCCACCTTTAACATTTGCATAACAAATAAGCACAAACTACCTTCAAATTTAAACTCATTCTGTTCAGTGTAAAGATTGTCATTCTCATTCTCAATTATTCTCATTCTAACTTCACAGCTACACACATAATCAACCTTGACTAATACTGTATCATATATTTTATATATTAGGTTTTTTATTTCTCAGAATTAAGGAATGTACTGTATGTGTTATGCAGCCATGCAAGTGAACAAACCCACAGACAGAGATGATATCAGTGAAAACTGACATGCTAAGGTTCAGAAATTCATTGATATATACAATTTTGGGCTTATCGGCACCCACACCTAATCTATTGTTGCACTAGTGCTGTTAGTGGAAAACAACGTACCTTCGCCATGACTTCAGGGTCGGGGTCTTCTATGGGATCAGCCCATTCTACCGTCACCACATTCCCCCACACCTTCACTTTGCCGCTCATTAATCTACGCCGCGCCTGGGCTGCCGTTTTATGATCATCGTACTCTAGGAAGCAGAAGCCACGATTCTTCTTCTTGTCGTCAGGCTGATGGTATAAGATGACGTCGTTCAAGCCCTCTGTTGAGATTGAGGATAGAAAATAATTTCAGGAAAACTGACGTTTGTTTTGACACAAATACATCACAAACACTTGACTCCTCAGTTAATCAAAAAAAAAAAGAACCCTGACAAATTCATTGCAGACATGCAGTTCTTCGGAATATAGTTTCAGTAACAAAATTCAGTATTAGACGAAACGTTGGTGCAGAAGTTTTTCAGAAAATTACGAGTAATAATTTAACGTTTTGTAATTACTGAATGACAAATGTAATGCATTCTGTTCAGTGTAAAGATTGTCATTCTCATTCTCAATTATTCTCATTCTAACTTCACAGCTACACACATAATCAACCTTGACTAATACTGTATCATATATTTTATATATTAGGTTTTTCATTTCTCAGAATTAAGGAATTTACTGTATGTGTTATGCAACCATGCAAGTGAACAAACCCACAGACAGAGATGATATCAGTGAAAACTGACATGCTAAGGTCAGAATCATGTTTTTTTTTTTTTGTATCATAACCATATTTCCAAAAAAACATGTATACTGAGATACATGCTATCATGGAATAAAATTCATTGATATATACAATTTTGGGCTTATCGGCACCCACACCTAATCTATTGTTGCACTAGTGCTGTTAGTGGAAAACAACGTACCTTCGCCATGACTTCAGGGTCGGGGTCTTCTATGGGATCAGCCCATTCTACCGTCACCACATTCCCCCACACCTTCACTTTGCCGCTCATTAATCTACGCCGCGCCTGGGCTGCCGTTTTATGATCATCGTACTCTAGGAAGCAGAAGCCGCGATTCTTCTTCTTGTCGTCAGGCTGATGGTATAAGATGACGTCGTTCAAGCCCTCTGTTGAGATTGAGGATAGAAAATAATTTCAGGAAAACTGACGTTTGTTTTGACACAAATACATCACAAACACTTGACTCCTCAGTTAATCAAAAAAAAAAAGAACCCTGACAAATTCATTGCAGACATGCAGTTCTTCGGAATATAGTTTCAGTAACAAAATTCAGTATTAGACGAAACGTTGGTGCAGAAGTTTTTCAGAAAATTACGAGTAATAATTTAACGTTTTGTAATTACTGAATGACAAATGTAATGCTTCAACACTACTGACACAATTTTATTTTTACTTTATTGTCATATGAACTAAATACAAATAATGTACAAAGGGAAAAAAAACTAAAATCTGGTATTTTTATGGGGTAATTGCGCATTTTAGATGTATTTTTATATTTCCTTTGCACAAACATTTTAAACGAATATTTTGTTAAAATAGAGAAAACAAAAACAGGTTGGTCCTGTGCATGTACATATGCACAATGTCTGCTTTGTCTTTGCGCTAACAGAAACTCAATTTTTCACGTTAACATTATTGATATTAACACAAAATTATGATGAATTTACAATCTAAACAACAAATCCTCATCAGAGAGCTCATGTTTTTATCATTACTGTAACAAACATGAGCGTCCTCTATCCTAGAAAATAACAGACCCCTTCTTTCTTATTTGAGAAAAAAAGAATTGTGATTTAAGGTGAAAGCTGAGAAGTTTCTTTGCTTGACATTGTTGCTAGAACCTTCCAGCGCAAATAGTTTGCAAAAAACAATTGCAAACCACTGGTGTTGATTTTCATGATAATCTGTAAAAGCAGTGTGTCAGTCTATCTCTAATGCACACATACACGTGACCCTGGAGCACAAAAGCAGTCTTAAGTCGCTGGGGTATATTTGTAGCAATAGCCAAAAAATACATTGTATGGGTCAAAATTATCAATTTTTCTTTTATGCCAAAAATCATTAGGATATTAAGTGACGATCATGTTCCATGAAGATATTTAGTAAATTTCCTACCGTAAATTTTGTGGTCCAGGGTCACATTTACGAGCATCTCAACAGTTAATAACACCAACACTTACCAGTAACTTTGGCAAACTCCTCCACGATCTGCTCCTTAGTTTTGCTCTTGGGGATGGAGCCCACAAACAGACGATTGTTGGCAACAGAGATGCACACACCGAGGTGCTTCCCAGGGCGAATTTCATTGTTGTTACACTGCAGGAAAGATTACAATCAGAATCCAAAAGGCCGCAGGTGGATAGAAATAAGCAGACAATTACTTACGAGTTTGACGGCTTGCAGAGCAGCCTCTTTAGTGCAGAAGGTGATGAAGGCGTATCCTCGGTTCAGCCCGCTGAGCGGATCCATCATCAGACGCAGATCCCATATGGGTCCGGCTTTCTCGAACAGAGGGACAAGCTCATCTTCAAAGAGATCTCTCGGGATCTTTCCCACAAAAATCTGAGAGCATTTGAGGAAACAAGATCAGCCACAACATACAGAGTGATGTCCATAAAAATCTTAAAATAAACATTAAACTGACTCTTTCCTAGCAATTAGGGGTCTGTGATACTAACAAAAAAATGAAATCTCACTACTTTCTGGGACTGTTGTCTTTTTGGTTTCACTACATTTTAAGTTGTCCTCGTTACAGAGTAATTACACAATTAAGCACGTAATATTAATAACAACAACATGTACTTAATAGAGTTATGGGTAGGATTTGTTTTATAGTTAGTTGCTTGTAATTATGCATAAGTACATGTAACATGCAATAAGGACACTGTAAAATAAAAGTGTTACTGATTTTTTTTTGGTAACACTTTATTTTGATAGTCCACTTTAGACATTCTATTAACAGTAAGTAACTTTGCAACTACGTGTCAACTAGCAGTCATTAGAGTATTAGTAGACTGTCTGCTTAATATCTGCTAACACTTTATTTTGATGCGTCCACAACATACAACATACTGACTATGAGAAACTTTGCAAGTATATCTCAACTTATTCGAATAACCCTAAACCTACCCTAACAGTCTACTCTGAAAGTTAGTTGACGTAGTTGCAAAGTTACTTGTAGTTAGTTGAATGTCTAAAGTGTAAAGTGTTTTTTTAAGAACAAAATTTGCCACCTTGTATTGATTTCCAGTGGCGTTTTTGCCTTTTGAAGGGCAATTTTTAACCTTATTAAATGTCTGCATCATCTTTTGTGTGAAATTCTTACGTTTAATCAATCGATTACAATAATAAGACATTATAGGCGATTACAATCAAATTAAATCAGAATCAACAAAATCCATTTTTGCATTGCACAAGCAGCACAGAAGCTGCAACTAAAGCAGCATTTAGATGTATTTATACTAAAATTACAATTTCAGAATTCTATGAGATTTGTTTTTTAAAATAGAAAAATTAAACCAGATTTTTCAAATTTTTCAAATATGAACTCGAATTGGCAATTCAAGAGTCATTCAATCATTCAATCAACCAATTTGTTCAAAACTGATTCATCTTTATGAAAGGATCATTGATTTGTTTAAAAATGCTCATTCATTAAGGAACTAAACACCGTTTACACAAAATGTATACATTTGTAGAGTATAAATTTTAGGGACTGTGCACGAGTCGACTACTACTTCAGCAATTAATTGACTAGTTAAAACACTATGCAAATTAATTCCCCTTTCCTGCAGTATTTAATAATGAAGTACATTGTCAATCACCTAAAACTCACTATGCAAATGACGGCACTGTGAACATAACATTGATATGATGCTGTATGCTTTAAGGTGAAGCCAAGTGCAATACTTTCATTGCTTAGCAGTCTAATTTGGATTTTTATGCAAGCTCCAGTTGAGTGTTTTAATGAACATGACACAATGCATTTTGACAGCTTCAAAACAGAATCGAACACTAGCGCAGAATAAAACAGACATCCGTCAGTCACACAAACGACTACAGCACTAACCTCTGTGCCGACGGTGGGCTGAACTCCAGCATGGGTCGAGCCTGGAGGAGGACCGCCATACTTGCGCTGGCCTGTCGTCACATCAAGTGTATAGCCAGTTCTCTCGAGCAAAGCCTGTGAAGCAGAAAATAAAAACACTTGACCGTCAGACAGGTACTGGATCAATAGAAAAGAAAGCAGCAACACAAACAGCTACACAGAATGAACAATAGATAGACAGGTGGATATATCATTCAACTTTAGGAACTAAAAAACCTGACTTACTGGCTGCATTAGACTTACTTTGATTTTGGCCTCATCTGGTCCTTTAGTGGAGTCTGACACTTTGGTCCCCTGTTTCTCCCTCTGCCTGTACGTCTTCATCACTCCACAGAGGAAGGCACTTTTATTCTGTTCAAAACATTAGCAATGGGTGAGCAGGTGTAAAACTAATAAGAATTAATTAATATTTCATTTATGCATTGAAGATTGTTATTTTACATAGGATTATTACATTTCTTTGCCTGAATATTAATGGAAAAATGGTGACACTTTAGAATAAGGAACACTTATGCACTATTAACTATGACTTTTCACTCAATAAATTCCTAATTTGCTGCTTATTAATAGTAAGGCAGTTGTTAAGTTTAGGTATTGGGTAAGATTAGGGATGTGGAATAAGGTCATGTAGAGTAAGGCATTAATATGTGCTTAATTACTACTAATAAATGGCTAATATTCTAGTAATATGCATGCTAATAAGCAACTAGTTAAGAGACACTAAAAGAAAGTGTTACCGGAAAAACTTCAATCATTGTTTGTTTTTTTGAGAATTTTTAAATTTCACTAAAATTACATTTAAAAATGTTTATCTAAAATGTTGGTATCCAATTAATCACATGATGTGACAATTAACTGATCTAATTAATTGCAAATTAATCGCACATCAGATTAGAAATCACCTCTAAAAGATCATTTAAAGCCATTATTGTGTTAAATGGGAAATGCATCAAATAGACATTACAAAAAGGAGCTTTAGAAAGACATTTTCTATTTTCTTTTTATAATTTTGGGGTGAACTATTCCTTTAATTAGTTTTTATTAATATGGATTTTTTTTTCTTTTTTTTATTAAAATGGAAATATGAAATAATTTTTTAATGAAGTGATACTCTAAAATAAGAAACTAAAACTACCAGTAGATGGTAGTAAATGTCTTCATGAATAAATCATTGACTCGTTCATTCGTTCAAACGGCTGATTCATTCAGGAATGATGTAAAAGATCCTCTTTATGAATGGGCCATTGAAACATTGGTTCACCATTCGTTCAAAGCACGGATTAATTGAGAAACGGTGTGCTGCTTGGAGACACACAGCACTTCTGCATTACTAGGTAATATTTGGCTTGGCAAAACGGAGCAAAAAAATATAAAATATAACAATATTTACACTCATGCTATTCAGGACAAAAACAGCACTCATGCAATATTGCACTCGTGGCTCGTGTGATATTGCTTATTAGCCATATGATATTATATATGATATGACACAAAGATAAGCACAACAGCACACAAAGTTATAGATGCGGTAGTAAAAACAAAAAGACATTTATAGTATATGATTTAGGTACGCAATATTGCATGAACAAAATGTTTAAACACGATTGCAATGTGATTTTATACAATAGTATTTCAATATAAAAAGTTAAAATGAAGTGACTTACATTTTAGACAATATTGACCGTTTTTGCTAAATTTTGCTGTTGAAAATAGTTCCAATTAAAGCCACAGCAGAACTGTTTTGTGTCTCCGAGCAACACAACGGTGTTTTGTTACTGAATGAATCCACGCTTTTGAACGAATCAAGTGAATCAATGATTCAGTGGCCCATTCATTAAGACAGTAGTCACTTGCCTCGTTTCTGAATGAATCAGCTGTTTGAATGAATCTGTTGACTAAGTGACTCACTCATTCATAGTCATTTGCTGCCACCTACTGGTTTGCTTTCATATTCAAAACTATCATTGCATTTTCCCCAACGTTTCTTATTTGCATGTTTAAAAAATATTTAAAACATTAATCTTATAAAATTCCTTATGCATTCGAAATTTTGCAGTGTAAATGCATTTATGGCAGCTCAGCGTCATCAAACAGTCTGCGTAAACGCATCTAATGCCACTTCAGATGCAGCTTCTGTGGAGTTTGTTGATACTGCTTTCATTTGAACGGTAACAGCTCTACAGTTTCTTCTTATTCTAACTGAATTAATTGAAACAATGTAAGAATTTGATGTGGAAGATGACACATTTAATAAGGTTAGTGAAAAAAAATGACAATTTAAGAAACAGTGGGAAATTACATCTGTTTTGTTAAATACAGCAACTCCTTGTCAGTTAATTGTTATTTCTACCTAGTGCTGGGCGGTATACCGGTTCATACCGAATACACACGAGCGCGACTTTAGCCAAATACCGTCATGTACCGTGAAACCGGCAAAATTTTGAAAAATACCGTGATATAAATTTTTGGTCATACCGCCCAGCACTATTTCTACCTCTCTTCCTGTCACAGAGCACTTTATTTTGAGAGTTGTTTAAGTGAGAGGACATCTTACATCTGTTTTGTTAAATACAGCAACTCCTTGTCAGTTAATTGTTATTTCTACCTAGTGCTGGGCGGTATACCGGTTCATACCGAATACACACGAGCGCGACTTTAGCACTAGATTTAGCAACTTTCAGACCCTTTTAGTGGCTTTTTTCCATAGAATATTCATACTGACAAACCTAGCGACTTTTTTGGATAAACCTTAGCTATGGTTCAGTTGGAAGATTTCTCCAGTGCTGTCCCACGAACGCCGAGGTCTGACTTTCCCGGAGAAGTGTCGCCTCTCTCGGCGTCTGTTCTGTGCAGGGAGCGGCAGAGAAGCAGCGCATTCAGTTGGCCGCACCGCAGCCGACTCGACAATAAATGAGTACAAAACAGCGTTTCCTAGCACCTGTCGCTTACTGATTGTTTGGAATTATAAATATGAGCGTAGTTCGTCTGTTAATATCACATGCACTTTTTAGTTTGTTGTTGTTTTTAGTTTGTTACTCAGACGCAGGCAGTGCGCTGCATGAGACAAAAAAGTAATATAGCCAAAACAACCGCATAGCCGCTCTTTAATGTAGATGCATGTTGATTTTATCAGACGATGCCGCGATTATAAATGAGAGTGACTCCTGGTTAACATATATTAAAAGGGGTCGTGTTTAGTCACTATTTAGTGTGGTATTTTTTGACAATATTCACTCATCATGACAGTAAAATAGGGCATTCTAAGTCAATATACTGCAGTATTTCCTCTCTCAATCAGTAGAAAATATGGTTAACACCCGGTCATGCATGAAAAAAAAATACCGTCATGTACCGTGAAACCGGTATAATTTTGAAAAATACCGTGATATAAATTTTTGGTCATACCGCCCAGCACTATTTCTACCTCTCTTCCTGTCACAGAGCACTTTATTTTGAGAGTTGTTTAAGTGAGAGGACATCTGTAACTTTGTCCAGATTGGGGGAATTGTAATGTTTTGTATTTGTAATGTGTAAAAATTTTTTGCATTGAAAAAGTATAGATTTTTGTTTGTATATACTGTCAATTATAGTTTTTAGAAAGAAAATCGGAATCGGCAAAAATCGGTATCGGCAGGTCACAAAAAAAACTAAACAAAAAAAAGAAATCGGCCAAGAAAATTGCAATCAGTGCATCTCTAATTTTAATCCATGCTTCAAACTATTTTAAATATTATGATTTACAGATCTCAATTAAAGAGACATCATAACAAAATAAACAATAATGAGTACTAAAGATAAGTAAACATGTCTTATAACCAAAGAAAGTGTGGCTATGTTACGCAGCATCGGTCCAGCATTACCAAAAATAAACTGTGAAATGCAAGCACTCTCAGTACATTCGGTGCACGACTGCATTAGTTTGGTCTTCTCAAACATACCTGAACATGCGACAGGTCGCTGTCTTTAAACTGCAGGAGAACTTGCAGTGCACCCTCTTCATTGAACTCTTTCAGAGCTTCAATCGCTCGATCATCAAGATCGCTGTGAGACACGAGTCCTGCACAAAAACACATCCTTAACACACTTCAAACTGTTAATACATCCACCTTCACTGGATGTTATCAGACACGATTTTAAAATCCCGATGAAAGACGTGATCTGAATTACTACAGTGTTTTCCCCAATTGATGTCAGGTGTAATTTGACACAGTAGAGCAGAGCCATTGACTGCATCTCATAGACACAGCGCTTTATAAGCATTAATCATCTAATCACGAGCAGCTGTGGTCATTGTTCCCGGATGTGTGCATTTGGCAGCATGCTTCCTCTGACGCCAGACAAGGAGAAATCGTGTTGGCGGTTTGATTTGTTCGTAAGTTTCAGATCACAGTTCATGCAAAATAAGTAATCAGATAGGCTGATTCCAATATTCACACTTTTAACCACTTAAACCATTACTGGCTCCTTCGATATTATATGTGACTCTGCAGCACAAAACCAGTCTTAAGTCGCTGGGGTATATTTTTAGCAATAGCCCAAAAAACATTGTATGGGTCAAAATTATTGATTTTTCTTTTCTGCCAAAAATCATTAGGATATTAAGTAAAGATCATGTTCCACGAAGATATTTTGTAAATTCCCTACCGTAAATATCTCAACTTAATTTTGATTAGTAATATGCATTGCTAAGAACTTCATTTGAACAACTTTAAAGGCGATTTTCTCAATATTTTGATTTTTTTGCAAACCCTCAGATTTCAGATTTTCAAATAGCTGTATCTCAGCCAAATATTGTTCTATCCTAACAAACCATACATCAATGGAAAGCTTGTTTATTCAGAAAAATTGACCCTTATGACTGGTTTTGTTGTCCAGGGTCACATATGACACGTGGTGAGTGTTTACAATTAACAGCCATTCATGGCATTACAGCAACATGCATTCAACAGGACTAAGCACTGGCTTTAAATGTTCTGTTTGCATGAATTACTATCAATAAAAGTGTAACAATTTCATAAAGGGATAGTTCACCCAAAATTCTGTCTTTTACTCACCCTCAAGTTGTTCTAAACCTGCATGAGTTTCTTTCTTCTGTTGAACAAAAAAAGATATTGAATAATGTGGGCAACAAAACAATTGTTGGTCCACATTGACTTCCATAGTATGCAAGAAAAAAATACTATGGAAGTCAATAAAGACCAGAAACTGTTCGGTTACCCACATTCTTGAAAACATCATCTTTCGTGTTCAGCAAACTAAATACATTCATACAGGTTTGGAATGAAATGAGGGTGAGTAACTGACAGAATTTTTTTAAATTGCAGCCTATTGATCATATAGTGATTATGCAAATCATAACACAGAAATAATTAAAAATTGTTGATGCATATCAATTATCACACTATTAAAATCTGTATCAGTCCTAAAAAAAGAAATATCAGTCAATCTCTAGTTTTTGATCACATCATTGGAGATTACATGGGATTTTTACACATGAACTCATTTCACATCACAGCAAGATTTATGTGAATAAGTGATGGCAAAAATGTGGATTCAAGTGAACATTACTCTGTATTACTTCCTCATATCTCACTATTCACAGACAACTGAGACATTCCTAGTGGTACTTTCAAAATATTATGGTTTGTTTGAATATCACAGCCAGCCTGACAATGATCCAATCATAGCTTTGGGGGCGGGACAATCTATTTATCTGACCAATGGCAGATGAGGGAAGTGTTCCGAAAAACATGCTTGATAACAGCCATTTCTGCAATTTTGTCTGGTGATGCAGGTGCCACAGAAATGACTCTTCACTTATCAACTGTAACCAATTAAAATATCAATTCATTTCATACTGTACATTTTAAAATCTGACATCTTGATAGTGAAAACAAGCCAACAGAAAACCATGCACAGACTGAATCAAGCCCATGTACTAAATTACTCTACTTTGACTCCCAATTATGGCTGCACGATTAATCGAATGCGATTGTCATGCGCATTTTGTTAAAAAAGCCGGTTCTGTAATCAGCAGGTTCAGACACCTTCAGCATTTACAGTTTATTCGCTATAGTTTAAAAAATGGTGATAAAATATGACAAGAACTAAACCGTGTCAGAACGTCAGATAACTTTGATAGAAAGGTATGTAAAGAATTAGATAATAGCAATTTAGGTCAACCAATTACCAAGCAATGCTTAATTATGTTCAGTCTGTGGTGTAAAAAGGTCGCATTAGCAATAAAATAAAAACACTTCAGCAAAACATGCTCAGGTCAAAGTGTCTGAATAATTTTTTCCCACATTTTTATCAGTTTTACTGGTAGTCCACTGTATGAAGAATTTTTGGGTATAATATCTCAGTTTACTTTATTTTGCTAT